GAAGCTGTGTCCAGGCCTAGGAGTGTAAATGCAGTGCGGGAAATGGTCCCTCGGTGACCGCTTGACCCAGAGCAGGGTAATCTGAGCAGCACAGATGGTCCTGGGCAAACAACCTCGCTGACAAGGAAGAATGAAACACTCTGTGTCACACTGCCTCAGTGAAGCATCCCTCTTTCCTAGGATGGAGGTACAGCAGGCAGCAGCAAGTCCTGTAAAAGACTTTTTCTACCAGAGGCGGAATCAACAGAGGAAATATAGATATATAAATGAGAGGCCTGTAGTAACAGAACTTTAATTCACTTTAGCTCTACCACATGTAGAAGCCAATATATAGCTCTTAACATGATTCTTGGTCTAAAAATGGTAAGCATTTGTGCATCTATGTGACTTTTTGTTTGTTTACAGTGGGCCTCACAAAAAAACCCAAAAAGAACAAAAGCTTGAGCCAGTATATCAGCTGTTGTCTCTTTGGTCTGATACATTTGCAATGATTTTTATGGAAGAAAACATTGTGCCAAACCACTACTGTTCCCCTGTTCCTGACAAGTAATGTGATATACAGTGAAATCCTCTCCCTTCCTACAGTGTTTGCATTCAAGGTCTCTACTAAATATCACAACTTTTATAAGAAGAGCAGAAAATTCTGTATAATGAATCTTTAAGCCAATAAGAAGATATTATGAACAAAAAAATGTGTCTACAAGTGTAGAGACAATAGCTTCATATTAAAATCTCGTGCTTTTGTATTTTTATTGGGGGAGGAAACAGAGATCACAAAAATTTGTGCCTGTAGAAGGAAGAGAGCCATAGGAAACACCTAAATAAATAACACACAGGCTAATCAAAGTTAAACACTTAATATTGACTCTGAGCAATCTTCTGCAGTAACTGCTGTAACATCCCAGCAGCCACACACATCCCTCTGTCCCCACCACTCCTGCCAGCTGGACTGATCGAGCTCTTGTGCTCTGTGACCCACCTCCTCCTTTGCTGGAAGAGAAACAAAGGCCACACAGTGAACAACTTCATTTTGAGTCTAACATTTCCGTTAGAGTAATTTAATTCTGGCTCCTTATGATCCTCAGAAAACAACAACTGAAACACTTGAAAAACACAGATGATGTGCTGCTCTGATCACAGAGGTCCCAAGCAATAGGTCCCAACACAGCTCATTATGGTCATAAGCACTGACCTGGTTAAAACCTGCACCTAACCCACTGTACACTACAAAGCAGCAAAAACATTTTCATTTCACAGTCATGATGTTTGAGTCCATTTTAAAAAATATTTGAATGGAAAATGGAAATATGCTAACAACTATTATTGGCTAAATCTTATACTGGCTAAATCTTATACTATACCGATGCTATGCTTTCAAATGCCTTTCTTTTTTCCAGATAAATACTGATATACATTTTCCTATCTCCTTATGTACCTTGCTATTGGTTGGTGTCTCTAATATAAGCCTATTCTCTACCCAGTTACAAACTATGTAGTAGAGAATTAACCACATCAGGTCACATCAGGTCAACTTTAAAGTGATAAAACCTTAATGGAGGAAGGGATCAAGAAAGTAACAAAATCTCTTATTTCTGTTTTCTGCATCTCTGGAGAAAGACTTTAAAGTTCACTAAGAAATACTTATCCAAACATACTAATCTTTTCATATTATTTCAAATATAGGTACTTGAATTCTAAATCCAGTTGATATAATATTTCAATAAAATAGATAATATTAAATACATCATGTTGTGGATCTTAGAAACACTGTGCAAATCTGCAATCCTAATATATATATGTTATTCCCAGAAAGCTCTAAAGAAAAAGGACCTTGTGTTGCTGTGTTTGTTAACATATTTAATCATTTATGATATAATAAATTACCCCTCTTTTGTTTATTAAGACTTAGATAAAAGCTGGCTGGAAAACCAGTGGCTCTAATCTCTCTAATCTCAACCAGTGATTTTGTTGCCTCAGTATTTAACTAGCAGAGATCCTCTAGCTAATACTTTTGGCATTTTTAAGGTGTGTGTTATAGCTATATTGGAGCCCCTGGTGGTCTAGTGGTAAAGGCGCAGCGCTATCACCCCGAGGCCCGGGTTCGACTCCCGGTCAGGGCCACTCCCGGGCAGGTGGGGCTCGTTAGCCCTTAAAGGCAACCCACCTACGTCCTAAGGACCTCACTGCCACCGTCCAAGCTCGCTTGGCCCCGGCAGATGAACCTTAGGATTAAAGGGTGGGCTCAGTTCCGCGCACACTGTGTCTCACCTAAAAAATCCAATGCGCAGGCTGGAAGGTGTAAAGACCTTCCCCGGATCTTCGCTCGCGAAGACTGGCCATTAAATTATAGCTATATTGTACAAGAACTTCAAAACCAGTAAAATTATTACTAAGATGATATTTTAGTTCTGCAAAAAGAAACAATATTTTCAGGAAAAAAAGTTGCTGTGTGGAAAGAGCATCTTTCTCCTCATAGCTTTCATCCTGCCAACCTTTCCTTCTCTAGTTCCTCTGTTTCCCTTAAAAACACCCAGAACTTCACTAGAGGCGTTTCTAAAAAGTGGCTTTGGTTGTGATGCATTAATGTCTCATGGAATCTACAATATAATCTATTTTTTCCCTTGAAGAGTTTAGATTTCTACTACTACCCTTGCTTTTCTTGTTTCTCTAATCCAAAGGCGTAACTGATGGAGTTAAATTCTGATTTTTTTTTTTTTTTGAAAGGCCACCATTAACCTCTTTCTTTTGTTGTTAGTAAAAACCCCACAATTATTGAAATGGACTGACTTCTTGACAGACAATTTTTTTCAAAATTTCCACAATCTGTCTTCCAGGCTCACTCTTTTCCTCCTTTTTGTCAAAACCTTTGTATCAACATTAGTGTTAAGAACTTCAATTTTCTATATTGATATTTCTATTTTTTGTCTCCCACTAATCACATTTGTCCTGTCTTTCATTTCCCCTCCATTTATCCTGTTACACTACCTGTCTCAATGCTCAAAATCTCTGAGCATTTCTTCTGTTTTGAAACTAATACTTCTGCAGAAATCCTTCAGCTAGGCACAGACCTTCTACTTCCAGCCAGCTAAGCCCTTCTGATTTCCCTTGTGCAATTAAAATCACATACAGCCCACATAACTCACTATAGAACTATGTCATCCTTGCTCTATAGATACCCGGCGACCCATGTGGGTGCAGGACAGTGGGGCTGTTGTCACACAGAGGGTCACCATCCATTAGAAACTTGGGAAAGGAGATGGGAATGAATGAGCAGGTGAGTGGGTAAGTAATCTACCATCTTCTTGTGGTGCCAAGCAACAGGACAAGAGTAATGAGCAGAAATTGATGCCCAGAAGTTCCACCTGAGCATGCAGAAGAACTTCTTTACCGTGCAGGTGACTGAGCACTGGCACAGTTTGCCTAGAGAGTGTGGAGTCTCCCTCAGTGGAGATATTCCAGAACAATCTGGACACAATCCTGTGCCATGTGCTCTGGGATGACCCTGCCTGGGCAGGGAGGTCGGACCAGATGGTCCCACTGCGGTCCCTTCCAACCCGAGCCATCCTGCCACTCTCAGACTCCATGAGGGGCAGGAGGGGAAACGGGCTCGTGGGTGACTGGAAGGAGAAATGCAGCAAAATCAGACTGTGCGGGGGTGAGGGACAAAAATAATGGAGGGATTCAAACATGTGGTGGAGGACAAGGCTAAAACCAGGTGACAATCACAGAGATCTGGGAATGGGAAATGCAGAGGGACGACAGCACCGAAGGGCTGCACACTGGGTGGCACAGCTGCTGTTAGGCTGAAACGAAGGGATGGTGGCAGGACAACTCGTATCAAGGCCAAGAGGCTCTAATAGAAGGGCTGAAAAAACATTTATGACAACGATAAGCGAAATGCCACCTCAGCCCTTACCGCGAACCCGAACCCGTGGCAGCCCAGCGCCACGCCGGGAGCCAGCTGGTCCCTGCCCAGGGTCCCGTTCCCGCGGCTGTCGCTGGGGCCCTGACACGGACGGATGGAGGGAGGGATGGAGGGTGGGACGGAGGGCGGGCGGCCGCCGGTTGCCCTGGCGAAGGCGACGCCACAGCGGCCTCGGCGCGGACAAAATGTCGGCGGGCGGCAGCGGCGGGGCCCGGCGGGGCGCGGACCCGCTGGGGGTAAGGCGGCGGCGGCGGCTCGGGCTCGGGGCAGCGCGGCCGTGCCGAGCCCGCCCCGCTCACTAACGCGTCCTCCCCGCAGGTGCTGAGGGCGGCCGGCGGCCCCCCGCCGCCCGCGGGGCCCGGCGCGCTGAGCGGAGCCTGGCTGGCCAAGGAGGAGCAGTACAAGTAAGGAGCGGCCCCGCTCGGGCCCGGCCAAAGTCGGTCCCTGTGCCCGGTCCCGCGGGTCGGGCCCCGCAGGGCGCTGGGGGCACCGCGGGACACCGCTGCCTCAGGCGGGCTCTAGGCCTGGGCATGAGGGCTTTCTGCACCTCCAACACTGTCTTTGCCTCTAAAACATGACTATATAAGAGCTTAACCCTGTTGAAAACAGCTTGAAAGCTGTAAAGGTTTTAAATGGAAGCCCCCGCTCTGTTACCTGTCGGGCGCTTGGCCCCTGTGAGTGTTGAGGGGGCACAGAGAGCCACGGAGGGTCTGGAACTCTGTACCGTGAACCATGCAGGGACACCAGCTCACTGCAACCTGTACAGATACATAGCAACACATCTTTAAATACGTGGTTAAGCAATGTAGTCGTACATCAACCCAACCTCTGCTGCTGGGTATGCCGAAGGTAAGGACTTTGTCAAACACACAAAACACCAAGGAAATAAAGACATAAAATGTGTATTAAGCAGTGAGACGTCCAAAACCAGTGACACCCTTCACATCTCAGAATTACAGCATAAACCTTGCTGCTTGATGGGTATAGGTATTTTATAACTGTTGATTTGCCAGAAACCAGGGAAATTGTTGAAACGGAATTTGTTAAAACCCTGAAGCATATTTCAGTGCTCCTTTATAGGAATTATTAAAATTTCACCTAGTTTAGGCAGAAATACTGTCATGCTTACATTTATTTCTCTTAAACCTTTCAAAAACTCAGTGACAAGCATTCTTACTCTTTCAGGCGACTGAATGCAGAATTAGAAGCCAAAACAGAAAAACTGGTGCGTCAGGCTGAAGAGCTGATGGTATGTTATACAGAGTGATACATGATTTAGCCTTGATTCACATGCACACAGGGTCAAACTTAAAAAGAAATTATTTACACCATGGGTACTAAAACTATTTTGCTTTCAAATGCAACATAAGCTTTCATTTTTATTTTTTTTCAAAGGCTGTAAACTTCTACTAAAAACATGCAAAACTAGTTTTAATATCATTTCATTAGGTAGGTATTCACACAGGTGCATAGAACATTTGTGCAGATATAGACATAAAACCACATAAAAAACTTTAAGAAAAGGATCTGTAGGTGGTCTCCTGTATTAAATGCTAAATAAAAATTAGTATTTGAAAACCAAATTGTATTGCAATAACTTCCTAGTGAAATAGGATACACATTGTTCAATATGAAAGAAATACAAAGAATAAGCAACATAAATAGAAAATGTAAATTTAGTAAGAAGGAAACGTTCTTAAAACAGCAAAAGCTCCTATTTATTGTCAGTATTATCTTTTAACATTGGAGTAGCTCTGTGCCAGATGAGAATCAAGATTCATACAAAAATGGGACAAATGAATAAAAAGGGAATGGGGCAGGTATGGTTTATACCCAAACCAGTCCAGGGAAGGCGTTCTGCATATTAGATATATTCACTGTAAGTACACTAATTCAAATAAATAAGGCTTTAAAAGCAAATTATTAAGTCTTCTGGAAATCTATACTTGCATGCACTTTTCCTGCTGTTGAAACTTCATTTTTATGGCCTGTGAACATACTGTTCTTTTGAGCAGTGACAAGCTGAGGGTAGCTGCTTGGCATTTGAACAGAAGCAGTTGAAACGGCCAAAATAGCATCTAGTCTCTTTCCTTTAGAAAACAGCAACAACAAAACCACTTTTTTTTTCCCTTCCCTAAATACAGCAGAAGATGAAATATTCTTAGGACACTTAATATACCACATGGCAGTGCCAGATTGCAGAGATATACATTTAACAACAAAATAGCAACAGCGTTTTCATTTTTAGCCATCTTTTCCTGTGTTTGCAAAGTTCTTTTCCACAGTAGAGTATAGTTTCCATTCTTTTCCATAGTAGACAGTAGTTATTGTGATTTACAAATGGGTAATTCATCTTTAATGGATTATATTCCCCCAAAACTGACTCCTTTTTTTTCTTCTTTAATAAAGAAAGGCCAACAGAAGATACTATCTCGACCAGCTTCAGTACAGTCTAAGTCACCTGATGACAGACAGAGGTATGTGCTTTACAGCTGCTGTGTATAACTGGTGGGGAACCCCACACTGCTCCTGCACACCCTCACTCGTGCCCTCGTCATGCTCCTGTTTTATCTGTCTTTGTGGCATACTGGATTGGTAGAGTCTAAATTTTTTCCTATTACTTTTAAAAAAACCAAAAATCCAAGCAAGTGTTGTTCCTTGTTATTTCAAGGAAGCCTTAATTTTGCTGGAATGTTCTATCAAGGATAGTAAGTACTGCTGACCTCTGTAAAGAAGCAAGGTACAGTAACAGGTTTCTTTGCAATAGATGGTTTTTAACAGTTCAGCTGAGCAGGCAAAGGAACAGATACTTGTTCACATGTAACTTGGGCCAAATGTTCCTGGGACAGGAAGTGCTTGATGAAAGCGCACACAAAACCCCAAGACAGGCAAACACTGAGCTGCCACCCTCTGGAACGTGGGTACCATTGCACTGCTGGGGCCCACGTGCCTTTGGCCTGGATGAACACACGTGGAGCTGTGGGGTTTGGCTGGGTGTCCAAACTCCTTGGATCAGGAATGGGAACATGGCTTATGTTCACTTAATTGTTCGGGGGCATTATTACTTAGTTCTTAAGGTGTAAAAACCTTCCCCAGATCTTCACTCGTGAAGACTGGCCATTATGAAGGGTTTCTATATTGATAGTGTGGAAAGTGGATGAATTTAGGATAGACTGATACACAGTTTATCAAGGATCTGATCTGTAGGTTCCTAAATTCATGATGCCACTTATCCAAGAAAGAAAGATATGGGGACAGACTACAAGATGCCTCAGCTGTTAAGCTGCAGTTGGGAAACTTTTCAAATAGTGTATATGAAAGTCTGATAGAGATGATCAAATAGTTACTTTTGTGCAGGATAAAAGCAGTGACATCATTAAGGAGTTTTTATGAAAGTAAAAGGGGTTTTCAGTACACAAAAAGGTGTGACAGCAAGTCACAGCTTCTATGATAGAAGCCTGTCTACCAGAAAAAGTTAACTACAGTTAAAATTAGTCCTGAGCTATTTTAAAGCCATATCTGACAGCTGAGGGATCAGGGGGGCAAGCAACTTAATGTGTTACCAGTATAATCATGCTTTGCAAACAAATTCTGGATCTCACTTTAGGTTTATAATCTGTTAGATGAATTTTGAACATTAAACAGAAGATTTTTAAAAACTTCAAACTGGAGTTGAGTTTTAGGGCTGTTTTATGAAGTAATGCGATCAGAGGATCCAGCTCCACCAAAGGAGTTTAAAAGCTTTGATGATACACATTAGAAATAAATGAGGGAGTGTGGAAGAATTAAAAAAAATATTGAAAATTAGCCTGTTAGAGTAGCAGCTGATCTAACAATTACCTACAGAAATTAAAACACCTTAAAGCAACCACAGCCTATGTTCTGGTAAACATTTATGTGAGGGAAGGTTTGAAATCCCATGCTGTAGTGAAAAAAATTAGAAATGTGTGCTAGGAATTAGGCACACTGATTATCCATGAGTGAACATTGAGGCCATTCAATTAGATTAGTTCCAAGTATTTAATATTTAATTAAAAATTCTTTTATTTCTAAATTGTGCAAGCACATAGGTCATAAATCTAAGGGAAGCACTTGAGATATATTTTTTAAATACCTCTTTGAAATTTCTATTGATTCCTTATAAGGAGAATGAACACTGAACTGGAAAGAAAGGGAGGAATTGAAGCAAAGAAAGAGGTAGTGGAGGGGGGAAGGTTAAATGGAAACACAGATATGTAGGAAAAAACCCAACAAATACTTAAGTCACTCGGAAAATAAGTTGTTCCGGAGTTCTTGCAGCATATTTTTCGCAGGGAAACTTGAATTACTTAGCAACAAAGCAGCGCCAGTGACACCGCATTGAAATCAGCTTTTGTTTACACTTTCCCTCTCCAGACACTGGCAGGCTGAAGGCGCTGGGAAGGGCCCGCGCATGGGCAGGCACGGCCCAGGCTGGGCTGGGATTAGCAGCACAAAGGGTTTGCTCATGCACGCACCGCCTGTTTACACGCAGCGATGGAATTGTTCCACACGAGCTTCTGTGTCAGGGCTGCCACGATGCTCTGCCCACTCATTTGTGCACCTTCTCAGGCTTTACACGCTAATTTCACTTACCATATCACCACAGAACTGTATTACAGCTTGTGAAAATGGATTGTCACGTGTGGGGAAGAGGAAAGAAACCCTTGGAGAATTTGAGAGATACCACGAGGTCGAGTTTTTTTGGTTTGCTTTGTTCGTTTGTAGGGTATTGTAGTTTTGGTTTTTTTCTTGTTTTTTAAGAAGGCCATAAGACAACAGATAGAGTAGGAACAAATTAGCCTATTGATGGAAAGAACATCATTGTTTTCCTGAATATAGAGAGTGTTGTATTTTCCTATTTTTGAGAATAACACATAACTGCATAACTGCTATTTCTGTGGCAGCAAATCCTCACCTTCTGCATGCTCCTAGAGCGAGCCAATAGGAAGGAAGCATGAGGAAAATAGGGTAAATAGACAAAAACTAATCATCCTATTCTTGAAGTCTGTTGCCAACCACACACAGATGATTTCTCCAGGTTTTTTTTCCTTTTTTTTTTTTTTTTTTAATTAATAAAATACGGAGCTTTGTGCAGATAATTCTTGTTGATGAATGTCTGTGAAATTTTTAAAGGCAGGATCTAAACATTTGCTCAAATCAGCCTGGCAAAAAAATTAGGTGACTTGATGAGCCAGAAATTTAAATTTTATTCCAAATCTTTTATAAGCCAGCATTTTAACTGAAGTAAAACAATTATAAAGGGTAGTAAAAAAGTATCCTTTCAGTGCAATAATACACATTCATACAGCTCACTTTGCAAGCAAAAAAGCTATATATGTATGTATATAACAAGAAACTTGACCTGAATATTACACAGCAGGCTAAAACTTTCTGCTTGTTTTCAACAGACTTGAAAAATAATCATTTAACCTGAAATTCAGTTACTAAGAAGCACAGTTTTCAGCCAAATAAGCAGATAAGAAAGCTGCCTTTTTAATTCCTGGTTTTTTCCCCCAATCTGTAAAACAGATACAATGTTTATAATACTTACTTCAGAGAACATTCTGTGAGGTTTAATTTATAAATTGCTCCATCTCATTCTCATTTGATAGAGATTGTTGTCAATGGACTTGACCACAGTCAGTGTGAGCCTACTGGGATAGGTGAGCTCTCTCTCCTGCTGGGATGCAGAGGACACTGGTTCTGTGTCTGAGCTCAGGGATTTGCCTGTGGGGGGTGTGTTTGCCCAGGGAGCTGGTGGTGAGCTTTGGAAACAGTTCTTGTTGAGGCTGATAACCCTCACACTGGCTGAGTACTCCCTGGTGCAGGGAATCATGGATCTAATAAACCAGGAGCCTGCATTCCAAGAGCTAAGATCAAGTGTCTGGCAGATAAGTAACTGTTACATTACATGATAGATTCACCAGGTGATTGAGGTGGCAAATGAGGTAGAACGGAAAGACAGAATGAGACTGAATTTATGCTTGAATTTAGGATATGTTCCTACCTTAGCTCTATTGTTTATTCTGGACATGTAAAATGTTATTCTCCTTATTCCAACAGAGGGGTTGAATTTCAGTTGTGTTTATTTTATTATAGATGTTCAGTGAATTTTTATTTTTTAAATTTTCTCTTTTTTTTTGCAGAGATCCACTCTTCCACTCCAGTCCTGAAGTTTCATCTCCTACACACTCCCATGCCAAGGTATCGAAGTCAAAACTATCCTGGTTAAATTTTATTCTAGTCTAGTTTCCACATAGAACTTTTGGGTTTGAGGCTGTGCTACACTGGGGACTTTCCATGGGTGGGAGGCCAAAAGGAGGTGGTGCCCAAAGCAGTGCCACAGGCACGGCGTTACCAGGGTTTGTTTCTCGGTGCCAATGGTGCTTAAGTGGACTTACATCGTGGACTTGAATTTTTGTAGTCTAAGTTTCCTCTTCTATAAAGTCTTGATGGAAGTGTTCAGTGTTTAGAACATCAAATTAAGAATTCCAAGTGCAGAATATTAGAATATAATTATTTTCCAGCTTTATTCCCTTCCCTCCCTCAGCTGTTTAATAGTAAAGGCAGTATTAGTATCATCTAGATGTAATAGGAAACAATGGAAAAATGAGACTGAGATTAGGAACAAACTCAATAGTCTGTAATTACAACTATATCAAATCTTTTAGGAGGTGAGCTAAAGCTTCCAAAACACCATCTGCAGTTATTTATCAGGACACAGTAGAAACACCTCTAATTTTTTTAAGGTTATTTGTGTGAAAGTAACAGAAATACTGTTAGAACTTCCTTCTACAGGGAATTTATAAGATGAAAATAATGCATAAAATACCATATTTTTTAAAGTATGATAAGCATTTTTCAAAAAAATGCACTCTGATGACAGTGCAATAATTAATACCTTGATAACAGCTCAGAGCCTTGCTTGTGCATAGATTTATTCTGAGTATGTGTGCAAAAACAAGCCAATGACTACTGCATGTTTGACAATTAGGGCATACAGACATAAAAATGGTGAGATAAAGATGAGTGCAAATAAAACTTTATAAAGCCTGAAAAGCACCCTTTGAAAAATATCCTTGATTCTGGATATGTGATAAAGAAAGAAAAAGAAACCGCAAAAAAAAATCCATACTAGAAAAAAATAATTCCTATCGAATTAAAAAAAATAAATCACTCCTTTCTGAAAAAATTTGTAGGTAGCAAGCAAGAAGAAGTGTGCTGCTGCACCCACAGATCAGAACAGACAGTACTCTGGAAGTAAGGGAAAAAGAACCACTTCAAGGTATATCAGACATCTTTTTTGGTTTTCTAAAATCTTTTAGTTGCTATTTTTGTCTATCAGGTTATTTTATTCATGTATGCTTCTCTATTTGTATAAATAAATGTATCAAACTTTTGGTCCTTCTCAGTCAGCTCCACCATGTGGCTGTCTCTGTTTACTTGCACCAGGAATTATCAGTAAACATATGTGATTAATATTACAACAGTGAAACTGCTGCTTTCTGCTCCATCACCTCTCAAGGCTGACAGCTCAGCTCTGTAAACCCCTTCAATGGAAGGAGGCCCAGGGAGCTGGCAAGGCAGAAATACAGAAATGCAGCACCTGAGGCAACCTGAGAGAGCACCCTTGGGTCTGTGGGAAACATGAGGCCCTCAGGGGTTACTCCTCTGCTCTGGGTGATCTTGGGCTCACAGGACAGCAGAGGGTCAGTAAGGTACCACAGCTTTCAGGGGCTTTAGGCTGAGAAGCTTCAGCTCTGCAGGTTGCAAAGTCAAGGCTGTAAAACCAAGAAATTGAGATCTGGATGAGGGAGAAGAGTCGAGAAATGCACGAGATCCTTGGAAGCAAACGTGAACTGCCACAGGATATGGCATAATACCAAAACAGGGTGAAAATTGACTGCAAGGTGGCAGAACATGGACCTGACAGAGGCCAAGGCTGTTCTCCAGGACTTGGAAGTCAGTGTAGACCCTGGGACCTCCCTTGGGCAGGTCAAGGCGGGGCTGTCATGAGTACTTCGTGAGAGCTGGAGTGGAACTGTGCAGATACAGGCCCTTTGAGGCGAACCCAGAGTTGTGGGAGAAAAGTTAGGAGCTCAGAGGAGTTTGGAGGCTTCACTGGGATGAGGATATATTAGAATAATAACTTATGAGCTTCAGATCCTGGGAGAACTAAAGTCACCTTTGCATAAAAGAAAACTGAGGAGAAAACTGTGAAGGTGATGTGTTACCTTGCATTTTGGTTTTATGAAAACTTTGATATGCAGCTACCAGGATCAGTGATGTTCCTTAGACATCACGATGCAGAAACTGCAGCAAAGTAGGAGTAGAGCCACAGAGGACAGAATTCTACAAATTGACTTGGGAGGGGAGAAATAGCAGAAATGAAAACAGGATGGTATCTAAAGGCAATAGAACATTCCTCTGTTTCTTTCTTTTACTCTGATCTAGTTATGAATTTCACAGTAGAAAATGGTAGTGGTTTCTTTGCCTTCTACATTATAGTATGTAAAATCCTGTAATTTGTTTATGTGGAATGTGGTCAAGGTGAGATTCACGAGAACAAAGTGAGAAATTGCCATCAGTGCATCTTTCATGTGAATGCAAGTAATGAAATTGCATTGGGTAAATAACTGTACACTCTTAAAAATAGCAATCACATTAGATTTTTGTTATTATTTTTAATTATAAATTTAAAATCTAGGGTTATCTTTTTTTAGTTCAAAAATAAGAAACATGGAAGTGCAAAGTGCTGATGGTGTTGCAGTACTGGAAGATTGCATAGGTTTTTCTTTAACAAAAACAATAAGCAAAGTTGAAGAAAAACTAAAGAAAGGAGTCTTACCAGATTGTCCTGATGATGATATTATTCCAGCTGTTGGAAACGAAATGGGAGCAGGTAAGTTTTCCTTCCATGGTTAGTTCTTTTATTCTTTGTGACTGTTCAAAATGGGTTTTCCTGGGGAAAAAAAAAATAAGGAGTTTCTGTAAAAATTACAGGGAAAATTCTAAAGCCCTTAAGTTAAAGGAAACAGGAAAGAAGGTTTTTCCCTTTGCATAGTCCTAGAGGAAGCTCAGATCACCTATCAATGTGGATCTTTTGTGAAAAAGTGAATTCTTATCTTCATTTCCACCTTTATAGGGAGATATTTGGATGGTTACATGTGTTGAATATGTGCATAACATTTGATTCATTTCACTGGGGAAACAGAAGTACGTGATGCTAAGCTTGTATTTCCAAAAAGATGAACTTCAGGCCTTGCCCAGACTGTGCCTTTGGAGGAAAAAGCCTTTCCTCAGACCAGTGCTGTGGATCTTAGCGAGTGGCTTAAACAAGGTAACGTTTCAGCTACAGTGCCAGAATGAGAGACTTCCAGATCCTTTCCCACTCCAAATGGTGTGTTTATGTCTGTCCTAGAAACAGAGCAGGAAAGGGGATTGATATATTTGCCAGGGAGGCTAAAGGAACAATGTGCATCTGTCTTTTTGGCTCTGGTGTGATAAAAGTGGGTCTGTGTAGTTCCTTACAGTGCTAAAGCAAGCATGAAGGCAGAGATTCACCACAGTAGCACAAAGTGCCTGAGCCCTCTTCTTTTAATCTAACAGCTTGATATCTACAGAATTCCAATACAGGAATAGTTAGGCTTTCTAACCTCATGTAATTCGGAGCACATGTGCAGTTACCAAATCTCCCCATACACACCCTCAGCTATCTTTTTTATAGTTCTTTCTCCTTGAACTAAAAAGAAATTGCTTTGGCTTGCATTGGAAGCTTACACCAGATTAATTCAAGGTAACTCAAGAAGAGTTATTACTGGTGCCAAGCAATCAGGTCTCGCTTACCAAGCCCATATATTTGAGTATTGAGAGTTCTTCCTATAACTTTAATGATGAAATGAAAATACTCTGGGTTGCTTTTTGCTTTTTACATGTGATATTGGCTGTTTAGAACACTCTGAATGCCTCCTTAATATGCTAAATAAGCTATTGCAGAGCATTCCAGCACTGTCAGACTCACAGAGCAGTTATGGTGTTCACAAGGAACAGATGTAGGTATTAAGCAGGTCCTGTTGCAGAGAGGGCTGATCCCTCAGGGAATCTCCCCTAAGAGATTCCTTAGGCCAACGTGCCTTTGCTTGGCTCCTTAGGCCAGTGGGCTGATAAGGTTCCAGAGCACTGTTCTTTCCCTGAGCTGCTTGCACTGCTCTTCCTGGGCTTGGCTCCCACATCTTTATTTCATGATTACAGGTTACCACAGTGCAGCTGTTTTTCTGCCAACACAGCAGCTTACAGGTTACTTTTCTCAGGGACTGCTTTTGGGGGTTATAACTCAACCCTGCAGTAACAAGCAATGGCAGAAGCACATAGACACACAGAAGGCTGAAGATGAAGCTCTATTTTTATCTAATATATCCCCACACATAGGAACAAAATACCTGAATGTATTGTTGCACTTCATGTTAATCTTCAGATTATCTCAGGAATTCAAGCAGTCCATTCTTTTCGTGTAGCATATCAGACTCTCTCAGACATCCTCCCCTTGTTTACCATCCCCTATGCTGTTGGTTACTTTATATCCTAAGACCATCCCATAAGGAGATACTCCTCCCTCTTATCAGCTTCATCAGGTGACTAAAATTGACCAGTTAGGAAGCTAATTGTTTAATTATCTTTACCTCTTGTGAGAATTCAAACTTATTTGGATCACAGGCACCTCCCAAAACCGATCTGGTTCTAGTGGTGCACTTGAATTTTCACAGGTTTTACTTCTTAGTGCTCTTGATGACACACAGCTGACTAAGAAGTTGTCTGTGGACTAAAAACTGAGTAGAAAAGGAAACAAAATGGTAAAAAGCAGCAGTTTTTACAGGTAGTGGGTATAGCCCTAGAGTGATCTGTCATGGAGCTTACATTGTTCACAACAGCTAAACGATAGCTGGGAAAGAAATTTATGTATGAAACTGATTTTAGAACAGTTAAAACTGATGTTCAAGTATTGCACCATAATCCCACAGTATTGAATGAGATGATAGAGTGCAAGTTTACATTCTGCACTAGAGAGTGCAAAGGAACACTGTGAGAAAACACAAGTCTCCAATTACACCAACTTCACAATAAATACACCTGTGACATAACTCCAGTTACACCTACTATGGCTAATTAAGACATTTCCAAAGCATAAACTTACTGCCTGTTCACAGTGGAAAAGGCAAAGTAATTGTTAGAAATCTTTCAGAAGATGACAAAACCAAAATACTGTACTGTCACCATGCTGCTGTTCTATAGTGGATGCTGCCCCTTGCTGAGTATGGAACACATTCTGCACACCTCACCTCAAATCCAGGATGTAGAACCAGCAGAGATACAGCTGAGAGGGTACAGAGGCAATTAGAAGTGGGGAACAGCTTGAATTTGAATCTTCAGTTTGAAAACAAAACAATTAAAGGCACTATGAAAGATCTGTAACGAAAACAGTAATGGTAAAGGGAAAGCTGTCTCTCTGTAATGCAGACACTAGTAAATGCCACATTAAATTGGATTTAAAGCAAGCTATACAAAGTGTTTCTCTTTCACATAATGCACAATTAAATTAGCCACAGGATATTGTGAATGCCAAACTACAGTATGGCTTATGAAGAAAATCAAACAACTTAATAGTATAGAAGTACCTGAGAAGGGATTAAATGTAAGGGCTTCGATATGGTCTCCATCTCGAGAGCCACCAGTTACCAGAAGCTGGCAAGGGTATAACAGGAGGAATAAAAATCAGCCTGTATCTTGTTTTTTCATGGTGTTTTCCCTAAATCCTACTTATAATTGCCCTCTACAGAGTTACAGCTTAAGCTGCAACTGACAGTTCATAAGGGAAGGTGGGTGACAATAAAGAGCTGTTGCAGCAAATGAACACATGTACCCATCCACTCTGCTCCAGATACTCCTCCTCCACTTTATTCTTTTCTCCTTATAACTACTGTGACTAATGGTTATTCCTGTGTTGCTCAACTTGATCCTCAAACTGTTCCCATAGTTCATGCCTGTGGAAGTTCAGGGAGAGTTCCTTGTGAATGATCTGGGGAATAGGAGGTGAAAGAACAAACTGTTCACACACAGCTTGTTTTGTCATAACAGTCCATTTCTAGCTGCCCAAGAGCAAGACAGTGCTTAATTGGGAAAAAAAAAACCTGATTAAATGGATTTAATTTTAAACACTGTACTTTAAGAAAGCATAGGCTGCTGTGTGGGAGGGGTATTTACCTATTAGAGGGCTTTTCAGTCAACACTGAATTCTTGTGCTCAGTTTAAAATTACTTTGGCTGTAACTACCCAAGTTGCAGCTACAGATGGACTGCAGGGCAGACATGCCCTACAATACAGTTTTCTTGACTTCAGACTCAAGAAATGCTGTAAGGTACAGCCAGTATGATGCAAGTTTTCAGTAAGTTTCAATTTTGAGAATTATGCATCTTTTACCTCTTAAAGATGTCAAGTTCAGTCATTAAAAGAAAAAATCTATACAAAGCTTTGCCTGAGAATGAGAAACCTGCAAAATCTTTTTAGAAATCTGTTTTTATTTGCCTGTTTCTCTTTAATAATTGCAAACAATGTCGAGTGTTTCTAAAAATAAGAACATGAAAGTGAGTTCTAACATCAGCCTTGCTTCTTTTCTGCATTGAATAATGAGTACTTGTGGATATTAAATGTAACTTTTTATGTTCACAGAAGCTCAAATCAGATTTCTTAAGGCAAAGTTACGTGTCACACAGGAAGACCTGGCAAATGTGGTGTTTGAATGCAGGAAAAAGGTAAGAGCTGGATTTTCTTACCTATAGAAATGGAGTAGGATCCCCTTCAGCAAATAATCACAAAACAGAATTCTCTCACCCTTTCCTTTTCAAGTATTAAGAGCTAAGGTTCTATTTTTTTTTTAAATATACTAAGAATTTAGTATCAAGGATAGTTAATTTCTATATAAATGTGATCTTGGGCTAAAAGCTTCACTCCACTGGGAACGAAGACTTGCCCCAGCTGCAGGAACACTCGTGCTGCAGAGTGCCCAAACCACCAGTGCTGGAAGGGCAGTGTTACCAGAGCCTGAGAAAAAGGAGGAGGAAACAGTAGCAGTGAAATACAGATTTTGGTGTGCAGAGAGGAGAAGTGGTGCCCAGAGCTGGGTGATGGGATGAGAGGGATGTTCAAGGCAGAGTGAGAAACAGAAAAGCTTGAGGAATATAGCTGGGTGCTTTTGGGGTCATCAGTGGGTAGAAGTGTGGAAACAGCTGATCTGTGAATCCTCTTTAAATGGAATGTTGTAATCAAAGCAGCAATGAGGCTTTCAGGGTTCTCAAGAGTTGGTGCAGAGGACAATATTTGGAATTACGTATTTGGGCAGATCAGTCTGAAATTAAGGCATAGTGAAGGTACACTGATATTTCACTGTTAGAGTTTTATGATCTGCACTGTCTGGCAATCTATTTTCAAGTGATGCTCAAACATCTCTTGAACTGTAAAACCTTAAATAGCTTGTATTTGTCTGCCAGAGGGATCCCCTCTGATTCATGCGCTTGTAATCAAGCAAGCGTTTTGAACTAACTTTCAATTTTCCATACCTGGATTATTTACTTGTGGTCTCTTGACTTCAGAATGCTTTTTTCCACCTATTCCTCAGGCCCAGATGTGATGATGACATTCAGAACATATGGCAAAACACCTATATGTTTTCTCTCAAGCTTTTAATTTAGAGTTAAGGAGCAGGATGATACTAAATGAGTTTTTTGAGATAAGTATGTGAAGAAAATCTTTAGAAGTAATTAGATTTTGATATTTTATGTCTGTACTTAATTTCATTTTTATCAACACGGATGCTTTGCATTTCAATACTTTTCTGCTGTGATCAGAAGGAAGTTGTTACATTTGATTTTAAAGACATTTCCATTTTCAAATCAAATGCAATACTGTCAG